TTATGGATTTATTTGTGAATATGATTTTGAACTTCAGGTGTAGACATTATATCTTTGTAGTTTTCATTTACTGCTAGTTTGATATTTTACCTTGCTGATTTTGAATATTGATCAGTGAGTAAGTGAGTATGGTTTACTCAGCGTTTAGCGATATTCCAGCAATATCACGGCGGGGGACACCAGACATGGGCTTATTTTGTTATCGCTGGAATATTGCTAAAAAGCGGCGTACAACCATACTCACTCACTCATCCTAATGGCTCCATACAGATTGCTGACATGAACAAGAAATACTCCTGAGCATATTCATAATTATTTAGATAAAATATCACCCAGATGGACTCTCTCTGATCATTCGAAATGATAAAACAAGCTTCTGATACTTTGAAATCATAGTTTTCCTTTCAGTTCCGGTATTGTTTCTTTATGAGATATGCTGCATGGCGTTGGAGAATACTAAAACTTTACTGAGGCCCCTTCATCTGGTCGGTAGCAGGCAGAGTGTAAATGAAGGCTGAGAATAATGTATCATGAATTGAAATTGAGCAGTTTCATGTTGGATAGAAATATTTCAGCTGGGATTCCTTTCTACCAAACTCTTGTTAAGTTCACACGTAATGTTGGAGGATTTTAGAATGTTATTCATTCATCCAACAGATCTGCCACTTCACCTCCATATAACATGCAAACTAATTTGAGGTAGTGCCAGTTTAAAACACTGCATGTTGATTGTTCATCACATGCATCGATCGCAAACAGTTTTACTGAAATTGATGACTGCCTCTTTCAACTGTTTTGGCATCTGTATCAATGGGCATTGTAAGCAATGGTTCCCCTTCTTCAAGAGTTGGTTTCTTATGTGGCCATTTAATGCATAGATGCTAATATTTTTATGTTTCAATTCAGCTTCATTTATTTCATGCTTTTCTGAAGTTATTTGTTGTGTTGAAGCTGAGCTTGGTGTTGCTAATGATTCTAAATGCTGTTCAATGGAACAAGTGACTGTTTTGTTGTGGCCAATTTTGCTTCATTGCACCCTTTCAGCCATAATGGCAGAGTAAGTGTGCTAAATGTGTGGTATTGAAGAGAGTAATCATTGGCATCGCTAATTAATGACTGGAGCATTACTTGTCTATTTCACTGTGCACTTGCACATTTCAATGGGAGTGTTTGGGAATGTCAGCCTTGTTAGCTTTGATTTATGAAGGGAACTAATAGGGTTTATGCTTGGATATTTCATTTGTAATTACAGGGGTAGGTTTAAGAAAAAGTAATCTACTTGCTCCGTCCCAAGAAAATGAACAAATTTAATATACTCTACTCAAAGGGAGTTAAAGAACATCTAAAGACTGCAACCCAAAGTTGGAAACTGTATATGAAATAAAGAATTATTAAAATCTCATTGATCAGAAAACTACACATACAAAATTGATACAACCATTTTAAACTTATTGATCCAATGCTTTTTATGTTGTCTTTGGCTACTGACTTCCTTTTGTAAAGAGCCTTCTCATAAGTAAGAACATATGCATCTTGATGCAGCAATGTAAGATTCATCCCTTTAAACAGTAGCAGGATCTATGTTTCTCCCTACAAGATTGACTCACACAAGTAATGTCAAATCAAATGATACATAAAAGTCTTCGAATTCGTATCATTTAACTGCTTCACTGAAAGGAAAGAATACAATTTTTCAGGACTGTAAGTCATTAAACTGTACTAGTGATAGCAGGCTGAGAACGTTTATGTGAAAATAGTTCATGCAAGTATTTACATTTGCAGATTTAGAGAAAACGATCTGTAAAGTATTTAGGAACAGAGTAAACAAATGTTTGTTTTGGGGGGAGAAATGGTTTGAACATAAGCATTGACTGACAATGGGTTTGTTCAGGAACAGAGAGCATATGAATATATCAGACCATTATTGTGACTATTCCCACGATGAGTTCAAATCTGAATAAGTGGAGGCATTTGCATCTGCATAAACAGTGTTTGTCAGTATTTAATGTATAGACATGGGCAATGATCATCATCGTTTATTCAAAGGGACAGCTTTTAAATAATTGAGGTCGGTGAATTAACTGACGTTTGGTGTGTATTGATTCTGTGACTGTTGTCGACATCAATTTCGGTCTTGTCCATTTCATCTCATGACCGTATGTTATTTTGCAAGACATATAATCAGACATCCATACTGAGATAAGAGTTGAAGAAAATTGCTTCTAGAATTGCTGGACGTGACTGTGGATAAAGGAGAGACAAGAAAAATCAGTGGCCGTATTGACCAGGTCACTCCTGAAATTGTTCTTGCATTCGGTCATTACTTAGGTTAATGAGGTCATCTCATTGTGAAGCTGGTTCTTGAATTGAGGACAGAGGGGAGGTGGACTGTGTTAGGTTTCAGACACTGATTGGGAAGACGTACTTGTTAATCAAAGAGCACCCACTATTTATCATGATCATGGTGATGAAGAAACTGTTCGTAAACACATTATCATAATGTAAGGCTCATAGAGATTTGGCAGTCCAAACTTCCTTCCTTGACAGGAAAACTGGGAAGCACATCTTTTGTGAAAATTAGGATTTTGATTTTTTTTCTTAATTAAAATGGCATCTATCTGTGATATCATAGGATGTATATTGATATACTATTCTACCCTTTTGATATCGGATGTATATATTGATATGATGTTCTAACCATCAGAGGGTGTATACTTGTATATATGTGATATCAGAAGGTATACTTTTGTATCCATATGATATCGGAGTGTATACTTGTTATATTGTTGTATATATGTGATATGATAGGTTGTATACAATTCTCTGCTTTGTAGAGTTAATATACTATTACACAGTTCTATAACTGGCATCAGAAGATGTATTTTGATACACTGTTGTATATGTAGTCTGGTATTCATGCCCACATAATTACCACGTATGAGCAAATGTTGCTATTTTCTACAGATGTCAAGATTATTGATATATATCAATGTCTAAAAGGTCAGCAGTACCTCACTCCCTTCCATGACCTACTTTCATGATTAAGATACCACTTCCTCACCAATGCAGTCAGAGCTGCAAAACGTTGTTTAAACTATGAAGTAACCTCCAGTGTTACATCACAGTACTGCCCAAGGAATCGTCCCCAAAACTATATGCTCTCATATTAATCCATTTGATAAAAATTAGCAAACTAACATATAAACATTTGTATACATTCAAATTAAGTAATGCTTCATCCAAACATGTAAATTGTTTTAAGAAAACTTATGCCACTGATTAAACCTTTATGCAAAACCATTAACATGATGATGATTTTCCAGTATGCCGTCATAAAGTGAATTTAATAACTGTGCCAGGAGCAGTAGAATACAGACAAACCCACTTTATTTCACATTTTTAGATCATCTGGATTTTTTAAATACATATCTAAGAGATAGGTATTGTGACAACAAGCCAACAATCGTCTTTAAGCTTTCAAGATCAAGTCTGGTGCCAGTACACTATGTCCATATAATATCTCTACTATGACAGTAGCATGGTATATTGTTCCTCCTTGTGTGCTAGCTTCATGAAGTCCAGACGTTGTCTCTGATTATATATAATAATAAGTCAATTCAAATTGAAAAGGAACCCCAATGACCTGTACCTGAGGACAACATAGACATTTATGGCTTTCGCAGTGCGTGAAGGGCTGGATGGGAGGGAAAATGTGGTTGAGGGACTGTGAGGCAGACTACACAAAGTCCAGTAGACTAATGCTCCGTCTCTGTATATATATAATCTTGTTGGCAACAAATAATCCCATTTAAATTGAAAAGGAGCCCAGTGAGATGGGAGAATCAGAACCTGAGGAAATGTAGACTTGCTTCATTTAGACTTTAGCAATAAGGGAGGGCCAGGCAGTAGGGAAAATAATGTGGTTGGGGGACTGTGAGACAGACTACATGAAGTCCAGCTGAACTGTTGCCTTGAGGGTTTGGATGGAGTCTAACCATGAACAAACACACAAGGCAAGGTACATAGCACAGGCAGTGATTGCTTTCATCACAGTCCCCCTCGCTGTGTTGACTTGGCAGAAGACTACAACCGCTCTGTGATTAAGTTTAACATTAGCTCAAGTGAATACATACTGATCAGGCACACCAGCATATCTTCATTACAGTGAGACATTGCATTAGCTTTGTAATTTATTATAACCTTTGATCTACTTGATACAGTTAGTGTGTGTGTAATGTCTATGGTCGGAAGCCATGTTGGTTCAGGCTTTGTGTTTCTTAGATCTGTGTTCCTGTTAAGACATAATGAAGAATTGTGATACAGAAGTCTTTGGTGGTGATGTTCCACAGGTCCATGTTCTAATGTTGGTGATAAAGTCCAACTAGATCATGTTATTTGCTCTGACTACCTAACCTTTTCTTACTCTTCTTTATGTTGGCTAAGACTGACTGACTGACTGAGTTTGGTTTTACGCCGCTTTTAGCAATATTCCAGCAACATCACGGCGGGGGAACACCAGAAATGGGCTTCACACATTGTACCCATGTGGGGATTCGAACCCGGGTCTTCGGCGTGACGAGCCAACGCTTTAACCATTAGGCTACCCCACGGCCCCTGTTGGCTAAGAAGATCCAATGGGGCCCACCATTGGATGTTCTGGAAGGAACCTGCGATTTGGGGGTAACTTATTTTGTTCCATACATGTTGGAAGAAACAGATACTATTGCAGTAATTGAGCCTATGTTAGAGTGGTATTTCAATAGTGTTTCTACCCATTCCCATACTATCCCAGTAGTAAAATCAGTGTTTGAAATTACCTACAGGTGAGGTTTGCACTGACAAAGTTTTCTTGCTTTCATGATGATTGCAGTGTTCAGCAATATTTACTCACTCATAATCGCAGTATAAGTAGATTTGATACTAAAGTGGACCAATCAGAATGCAGGATTCTAAAATGTCATGATAGAATATTGTTACCATCATGTGGGCGATATACTTACCTAACATAGCTACGACGCTGATCATGTTCATGGTGAGGCTGAGGGGAGCGTCAGCATCACCGATCATGACGGCCACATGCCCAAGGCCGCCCCCAGGCACACACGCCACACATAGTAATCCAAAACGTATATCTTTATTGACAGGAAGCAACATCGCCAACCCAAACGCCACCTGGAACAGAAGGAACATCACACCATGAGTGCTAATGCAATTAATATGAGTGACACAAATCTGAACATATACTGATGGAAAGTAATAAGTAAACAATTGTAGCAAGACATTGTCTTACAGTGTTCTGAAGAAGAGTGTACCGACATTCCAGTTTACTGTGTAGAGGGCGATAACATTTGGTTCCATAATTTATTTTGTTGCTATGACCCAACACCATGAGGTTTCTAAGTTGAAAAGGGCACCAGAAGCCCATGTATTGGGGGTGGTGGGGGGGACTCAGGATCAGAGACTTCATTTATTGCATGTCATCATACTTGACTGCATTGATCGCTGTTCATGACATTAATCACTGGATTGTCTGGACCAGACTCCTTTATTTAAAGGCCAGCATCATTATATACAGGAATATTACTGAGTTTGACATTAAACAACCAAGAAATGATATCAAACATATAATAGTACTTTAGTTTAAAGACTAATGAACCAACAGCAATGAAATATGGATTATTTGAACTGCTGACAGATAATTTACATGAAGCAGAAAAGGTTTCAAATTTTACAAATTTCATCAACTAAAAGTGGGCAGCGTGTGTAGAGATTTTCTTTGTCAGTTAGTACCATGGGACAGTAACATGAGGCAGAGGTTAGCGAGTTAACAAGGATGAAAATCTAATAATTAATTTATTTTAGCCTAACAAGAAGCGTGGTAATCACCAAGTTATTCTCAAGGGTATGTGTAGGGGTAGAGTACTGTGTAAGGTGGAAGGACAATTGGGAAGCATGGCGTGGTGGGACAACCAGAAAATGTGCTGGGTCAGCAGTTCCAGCCCCTGAGGTTTCAAGCTGATAGGTTTTCACAACTTGTACATTTATGAGGTGTTAGTAGAACAACAAAATAGTCATCGGGGACCAGGAGCTGTCAGATTTCATGTGATGAATTTGTGTAGTGTTTGCTACGATTGTCAAGTGATTAGACTGCTGTGCTGGAAGGTACCGGTAATGACATTGTTCCTCGGAAAGTATTGGTCAGGTGGCTGGAAGCTCATCATTAATCTACGGTCACGACATTGCTGGAATAACTTGCATAATTCTCTATGGGGTAAAATTCTGTTATAGAATAGGATGAGTATATCAACTGTGAGAAATGTAGTCACTTATCCCTAACCAATGATGTAAATACATTGGATAGAACAAGTATATATGGATGACAACTTTTTTTATTCTAGAGCACTGGCACTTTAGAAGTTGGAAGTCAAATAGAACAAGTATAGTCAGTTTAGCTTTTATTCTAGTGCTCTAGAATAAAAGAAGTTGTCATCCATATATACTTGTTCTATCAGACTTCCAACTTCTAAAGTGCCCTCAAAGAAGTAAATACATTGGTTTTATACATACATTTACATCTTTACTGTAACCAATGTTTTGGTTCCTGGTTTGGTTCAGCAAGCTCACTTTATTCATGATAGTAAATCCAAAAGGCAACATAGGTCTGGTTACTTGACTCAGAGGTTTTCACATAGACTGCTGTGTTTGAATGTAATGACATTGTTTCGGTGAAAGATTATCTTTATGAAAACTTGTTGTGTCCATAGCCTCTGTAGCATTGTCAGATGGTCAGATTTATAACATCATGTAAATCTCAGCTGTCAGTTGGTTACACGTTCTCCTAGGCATTGTTTACTTGGTGCCTTTGTTCCACACATGTCATCACTACAGTTGTAACGATACACCATGGTTTCAATACAATATTTATCGTGGTATAGTCCTCTTGTTTCGGTATATTTTACTTCAATACACAAAGTGCATACAGAAGAAGAGAAGCACAATATTTGGGCTAGAAATGTTTATATACTACTCACACTTTGCTAAGGATCACAAAAATTCACAACTTTACTTAAATGTAGATTCATAATTTGAAATTGTATCCATTTAAAACTGGATAAATAATTAATATGGTAACCCCTCTTTAGGCAATCAGTCACTTTAATCTAACCTTATGCACTTGATACGTGAGTAACCATCAAAATGGTTTTCATGGCACCAATCAACCATTTTGCAAATCATGGAACAAGTCATTGACAAGTACACAACACCTGTCAATAGCAGGTATGGGATCCACAAGATAAAATGACATACTGAAACCTAGGAACCATGCTTACAATAAGCTAAGATATTTAACCAAATTTGACCCCACATCATAATTTTCTGTTGAATCTATGATTTGATCCTTAGCAAAGTGTGAATAGTATAGTTTGTACCATTAAATATGCAAATGATAAACTGTCACTCCATGAGGATAAATTACATAAATATACAATACCAATTGGCTGAGGATAAACAATGAACCTACCAAGAGCTTGTTGTGATATCAGGCAATTTGTAATGCTAATATTGGGCAGCACCAAAATACACAACAACAGAATGAAGGAAAACCAATAAACCGTTATTGCAATAAAGGCGTTGATTATCCACAGAACTTTGTTCATCTTTACACCTTCTAAAACTGCCTTTCAAAGAAGAACAACAGAATTGAACCGATGGTAAATATTGATAATCACGGTACATCGAGGAACGGAGTATACTTTTGCAGCTCTATTTGTTGCAGACATTTCATCAATTCCAGACCAAGGAAACTTCAATAGTCCCAGTATGTTGAACCTGACATGTTTAAAATTCCATTTTGCTTAAGTAGTTTAAAACCCCTAAAGACGTCCTTTGCCATTCGCTGAAGTAGCCAATGAAAAATGTCTTCCAAGCCAAGTCAAGTGGCTCATTGTCATTCTTTGCACCATCTGTCCAATCAAGATGCCAGGAAAGGACTGGGAAAAGCTCTCTAATAGTCTTAAATATTACACTAGCATTTGATCTGTTTAACAGAAAATGTTCATTGGAGTCTGGCCAGCCTATATTTACTGAAATGGAGATGAAAAGTGGAGACGAAAAAGAGTTTTGTTTTGGTTAAAGGCTCATGTGCTGTAATTTTGTATGTATTCATCAGATCTGGTGGGTTGAGCTGTTTATGTTCATTTTGTATTTATTCTTGATTAGGGCTAGATTGGGTAATTAAAGGCCCTGATCATGTGTATTAGGTTAAAGGTTAGCTGAATTCCTTATGTTTCTTTTCCAGGTTATGTGCTTATAGAATAGAAAGACCTGTGATCATGTAAATGTATGTGTAACTCTGAGTGTATGAAATATTGTTTATAATAAAACATCACAGACCCAGTGATGAGTATTATCATACATACACTTCTAATATGAACAGGGATGGCAATTTTCGGCTGATCCGCGGATTTCCGCGGATTTTATTTCAAATTGTTGAAATTGTGAATCGTCGAAATCCATCAAGAAACCCTCAACTCGATGACACAATATTAAGTTTTCAGCTGAAAATAGATTTTCCTGTTGCCATCCCTGTTTAAATGCAAAAATATAAATATAAATGTTGTTTTACCCTAACTTTTTTACCATAACCAATTTTGTTATCTGTAGTACCTTCACATTTTTATTTCATTCTCCAAAGTTATTGTGATGATAAACAGAACTTCTTTGAAAGGCATTTAGAACTTATTTATCCAATATGAATATAGCAACTCCAACCATCATTGATTTGCCTTAGAAAGAATTTGATATTATTCTTTATTTGACTTGGTGTAGCACGTTTAGGGACTGACAGAGCATATCTCTCTGGGTGTATGGCAGACATTTTGTCAATGTTGTTATGAGCTATAAATGTAACCTTGTTTTTCATGAAAAGAAATCAAAATGATATGGCTTTGACCTTTAAGTCAGTGTTTTTAGTGAAGGACTTGAATCTTTTATTATTGCTTAATGTTGGTAGATGCCCAGACTGGGAAAAAATCTTGACGTTAGGATTTTTGAAAACAGCAAAAAAATCCTTCGTGAATATATCATAGTGGGAGATTTTGGTAATTTGATTTGTCACAATTGTATTGATTTGATCACCTTGAGACTGGGGTCTAGAGTTGTCTGCCAAGTCTCATTGTTTATCCTTAGTTGCACAGCCAGGTTCATTCAAAACTTTCTTGTTGCTCTATGGACCCAACCAGTTGATATTCTGGGCAGTGGGATGAGAATAGCCACCATTCGGTCCTGCAGATGTCAATTCAAACCCAGCATCCCCACAGTGCAATGAACATCACTTACTGGAGTCCCATTCTAGCTCGGAATCCCCATGCTATGAGCAGTTTTGGTTCTATATGATGAAATAGATGTCCCTACCATCGGAAATATATTACATTTATCTGAGAAGTAAAAACCTCCCCTTGAAATGTGAAATTATTGATTCTTTACAGTTGAAAATCAAAGTCAATAAAATGTCTGATGAAAATTAGTAATTTTTCCTAAAAAAGACCTTTTTAATATCAATAAAAAGTTAAATGTGCAAATTTCTTCATATCAATGAAAAAACGAAGGTGTTATTTTGCTGGGTATTTCAGGCCAGATGTAATCTGTTTTGGTCAAGTGAGAAATGAGTTATTGACCAAAGATGTGCAAATTCAAGAGAACACTGTTGGAATGTTGTCGTGGAAAGGACATGGAGTCACGTTTTGGATTAAGCTGAGGTCATCATTCTGTGTTCCAGTTCTGGGACTGTCCAATACTTAGCGCCAACTTACCATAAAACGTTGGAGAGAGGGCATAAAGCACAAATAACTTTATATTCTGAATGGCCTCTTGATTGCTTTGATGCACCAGATATTGAACCCAGTGTTAGAAAGTAATCTTCTGAAAATATGGAAGAAATTCTTCACATGGAATATCCTTGCCAAATGCCTTCAGTGTGCAATATTTTCATTAAGAAGTTTCTAAAAACTTATTCAAGTTCTTTTTAGATGATATTCTAATTGATGTAATTTAGTAAGAATTCCTTTGTTCATAAAGGGACAAAATCAATCACTTTGAAGACTGAATTATTTTTACTTCAAATGTAAGTTATTTGTTTCCAGATGATGGTAGAAAATGGTAAAAACATTGTC